TAAAATACAGAAATGCTAAATAGATATAGAGTATGTGAATAATAATATTAGCACGATAACAACAGTGATTAAATAATTCTTTAACTAATAGTAAATTCCAAGAGTCTTCCATTAGCACGTACTAATTTCCAAATAAATTCCGCACAAATATATAAATTATAATCTCTCCATTCATGAAAAATAATATCAAATGTGTCCGAGCTTCAAGCATTTAACACGCACGATTTATGTTGAGGTCGTACGGCCCGATCCAGAAGAAGAGAGGATCGAGCGGCACGAACCATAAATGCATATATTATATTGCCGAGGCGTTCGGCCCGCTTCACAAGAAGAGAGGATACATTATGAATATCCGAATTAAAAGATATTATAAGGCTAATATATAAAGAAGCATAATTTCTATTAACAGTCAAGTAACCCGCCAAAACTAAAGTAAGTGAAATTCGGTCTTTACAAATCCTTAACAAGTTTTAATATAATTTAAGCACTTTAATTAACAAGTAGGGTGCAGACATCACAAGTATTTCATGATTTGGGTCCCAAACTACCCGAACTTAAGCATAATTAGTAGCTACGCATGGACTCTCGTCACCTCGTGCGTACGTAGCCCCCACAATTAGAATCAAATAACAATTTAAATCACATATGGGGTAAATTCCTTCTTATAAGGTTAGGCAAGAGACTTACCTCGTCTCAAAGCTCACTTTCAGACCACAAATTCACTCTAAAGACCCAACTTGGTGCCGAACAATCCGAAACTAGCCAAATATTATATAAAATAATCAATATACGCTCAAAAGTTAATAATTTAGCTATTAGAGTAATTACCCAACCCAAATAGGAAGATTCTTAAAATTTATCCCCGGGCCCACGTGCCCAGATTCCTAAAGTTTTTGAACATAATTGTTACCCATAACCTCACGAACTCAAATATATAATTTTTACCCAATTCCATAATCATTTTCGTGGGTAAATCTCATTTTTATCAAAACCTGATTTTTTCAACTAAACCCATAATTTTCACATTTTTACATGTTAAAATCTATCCATAATCTATGTATTTAACTTACATTGGGTAGGAATTACTTACTTTCAATAGCTAGGTGGAAAATCCCTCTCTAAGAAGCTCCAAAAATCGCCCAAGAAGTGAAATAAATGAACCAAAATGGCCTATGTCCCGTCATAAATGAACCTCACAGCCTCCCAGTGGTTCCGCTTCTGTGGCTCTGCATCTGCGAAAAATGCATCACAGATGCGGCCCTCCCTAGCTGGCCTCCTTCTGCTTCTGCGGCGCTCTCTTCGCATCTGCGAGCTCGCAGATGTGGTCGAGCCCTCGCACCTGCGCTTTTGCCCCTCCAGCTCAAGGCCGCTTCTGCAGTCGCGCATCTGCGCCTCCATGTCCATACCTGCGGACTCATCCCACACAGCTAAATTTAGCACTTGCGGCTAACCAGCCACTTCTGCGATGCCGCACCTGCGGCCAATCCTTCGCAGGTGCGAACGCACCAGAAGCCCTGCTGCTTCAGCAACTTCTTCCAAGTCTAAACGAGTTCCGCGCATCGCCCGAATGGCATCTGAGGTCCCCGAGGCCTCGTCCAAACATACCAACAAGTTCAAAATCATAAAATGGACTCGCTCGAACCCTTGTAACACGTGAAATAACATCAAAACTAAGGATTACACTCCAAATCAAATCAAATCAACTTATGAACTTCAAGTTCTTCCAACTCATTCCGAACGCGCCGAACCATATTTAAACTACTCGGAATGACACCAAATTTTGCGTGCAAGTCTTTAATCACCATACGAAACTATTTTCAGGCTAAAAATCCCAAACGAATCTCGATAACACCAAAATCTACTCCAAACCAAAATTAAAGAACTTGAAAAACCTTCAATGTGGCAATCTTCAATATTAAGCGCCGAAATATTTCCGGGTCATCCAAAACCCGATCCGAACATACGCCTAAGTCCAAAATCATCATACGAACCTATTGGGACCGTCAAATCTCGGTTCCGAGGTTGTTTACTAAAAATATTGACCCAAGTCAAGCTTAACCCCTTTTAAGCCAAATATTAAGGAACTAAGTGTTCCGATTTCAACCCGAACCCTTCCAAACCCGAACTAACCATCCCCGCAAGTCATAAAATAGTAAAAGCACATACGAGGAGTCTTATTTAAGGGAATATGGTTCTAGAAAGAAAAACGACCGGTCGGGTCGTTACAATTTAACCGTACGACTGATGTCTTCCTAAATGTGAGCGTGGAACAACAATTCTAACCTACCCCATAATTGATTCTTATCCACGTTCTCCTATGCAAATAATTATTTGTGATTTTTTATTTCAAATATCTAGATTAAGCCAAGTGGCAACCTAATAATATGGTTGGCATTGCTCAAGATAATGGGAAATATTAGGATAATATAAGTAAATAATATAATAAAATTAGTTAGTTTAGAATTAATGTGATTAATTTTGCTAATATAGTTGTGAAATGTGTAATTTCTAATTATATTAGACGTGAATGTTTTTTAAATGATTTTTGTTGCTAAGTTATTGGAAGTTGGATGTAATTTTGTGACTATCAATACGAAAATTTGCAAATTATTCAAGCGGTAAAAATACCTAAAAAAGTTAATTTAATATTTAATGATATACAAATGAAATTGTACACCATAGTAAGGTTTTTTGGTCGACCAAAATATTCTCCGAAGGATATATGTCTATCAAAATAGACAATTTTTCTACCTATTAATTATATTCATACTGATCTGCTTTCATATTGTTGCACCTACATTTATCAGTTGACGGGTTTATATAATAATATTACCTACTATTTCATGAAGAAAGCAAAAAGATGATAAATATTTTTATTGCAAACTTTATCCTAAATTTCTTCAAGTACTTAAATAATAAAATTATAATTCAAGAAAAAATAATAGATTCAGTGCATTTGCATATTCATAAAATAATATCTTTTATATACTTTTTTGTGTTTATAGTATTTTTCCAGTAATATTTTTTATGAAAATCTATACTATATTAAAAGCACGAAGGCCCTTGGTGAAATGTCGTTCGCCTTTTTTACCCTCTAAACATAGAATTCATATTAGACAAAATAGTCATTTAATCATTTTCCTAAAATTTTGGACTTTGAAATCAACTAAAATTTTTATTTATTAAATACTTCCTTATTTTAAGTTTTTAACTATGTACAAGATCCTAAATATTAGGACTCTTCTTAAATCCTTCTAAGTTTCCAAGTTTTCTTTAACCATGTTAGGAATCGTTAGGCTATTTTTTTCCAAGTCTTTGGCCTTTTTATTTTGATAAAAAATAATTTACATATTTAGTCTCAAACTTAGATAGTTAAATATAATAAAATTCTATCTTTGTCCAAATTCCCGGCGAGCATATTTATTTTTCAAGTCTTTACCCTTTTATTTTTTTATAAATAATATAAATTATGCTTGAACTTAAATAGTTAAATATAATAAAATTTTATCTTTGGCCAAATCCAAATTATACATAAGTTTTTTGCACCTTTTTAGTCTATTTCTGTTAGACTTATCGGCTAATTTGGTAAGCAAAATAAGGTTTTTAACAAATTGTTCTTTTGAATTTTGGTTTCTTCTCTCTGTTTATTGAAATGTTACATTAACTTTCGTCCTAAAATATCATAACTATATTAGGTGTAGTTGGAGCACTTGTACATCACATTAGAGCATTAAAATCTATATCTATCTATCTATTTATACTATATTAAAAGCATAAAAGTCCTTAGCAAAATATCATTTGCCTATTTTTCCTTTTAAAACTAGATTTTATACTAGACAAAATAGTCGTTTAATATATATATATATATATATATTTTTTTTACTTTTAGGACTTTAAAATCAACTAAATTTTACTATTAAATTTTTTCTTATTTAAAGCCCATTAATATTAGAGTTATATTGAACTATTCCTATAAGATTCTTTATTATGCAAAACGTGAGTTAGCAAAATTCTTTAGGAGTCAAACACGCAATGAATTCTGAAAATATAAAGATTCAAGACATATGATTTTTCTTACTATTTGAAAATCGAATCTTATTGGAAAAATTATAATTATTCTCAAATATTTAAAAATTAGAATGAGCAAATATTCAGAATTTGAAATAATAAAATTTAAGTTATTTCTTTTAATGTTGAGAATAAATAATTAAGCAGTTGAATTAACTAATTAGCAAACAATTCCAATTTAATTATTTTAACAAATTTATCATACAAGAATTTTTTTTGTTAAATTGGAAAAACACTTAAAGTACATAAAATTAATTTTTGTAAGAAGAGTATCGATCGTGAAAGAAATCATAAAATATAGCAAAAGTAATTATAATAAAAATGAAGATTCAAATCGGTAAAAATATAAATTTGAAGCAATAAGGTAAAATTGTAGAAGGCAACTAGATTATAAATGAGTTGTCATTTGTTTTGTTTCTTGCATTCAGTCCAACAAATAAAAACGTCTCGCTATAATTTTTATACTAAGTTTTTTCTTGTAAAATATTAGTTCAATATTAGTCATTCTTTAAACTTTACATTGTCACTATTTTAGAAGGTGTAATGCCAACTTTTTTCATTCGCAAATTTTTAAAAGACCAAAAGATTTAATTTTTAATTTGTGTTATTTGATAAATTTTTAAAGAATTGTAAATATTAACAATATTTATAAGTTTCGACATAAGTCTGGACAAAATAACAATAAGGCATCTAAATAAAATTCCTTCATTTGTTAAACTAACTAAATGGGAATAATATTTATTATTTTAGAAAAAAATCTTAAATTATATTTATAACTCAAACAAATTATCTAATAATATGTATATTTATTTTAAAATTTATGTATTCATTAGTATAGGTAAACGTGCAAAGCGCGTACCCAAGACTAATATATATTTAATGTTGCGGGTATAAATAATACTAGTAGGAATAAAAAAGAACTTACGTAAATTGACCGATTCTAACGCCGTTGATAAACGTCCACCCGAAACTAGGAAGTCTACATTTGAGTATGTTACAAGGCAAACTTCCTTTCATCGCCGGAAAATAACGAGTCTCAAAGATGGCGGCGCCGTCATGGATCCAATCGCTATTGAATCATCGGAAGAACGTGCTGGCCTCTATGCACATGAAATGCGTCTCCACTCGCCTTCGCAAATACGGTTAGCCTTCTTTTGCTCTCTGCGATTTGCTTTAAATCTACATGTATTTATCTAATCGCCGTTTGTATTTAGGATTGAGATTTGAAGATTTGTTCGATCCAATGGAGGATATGGACATAAAAGAGGCTCTAAGACGCCTCCCTCGTGAAGTTGTGGACGCTCGACACCAGCGTCTTCTCCGTGCTATGGATCTCTCCATGAAGCATCAATACCTCCCCGACGATCTTCAGGTTTGAAATGTGTTCCTAATTGTTATTAATTTGTTATTTGATGAAGAAATCTTCAGTGTTATTAAAAGTCGTGCTTCTGATGGAGGGGCATTTTCTGGAAAAATGTACACTTTATATACTAGGCATGCCTTTGAGTTGAAGTTGACTTGAAAAAAGAGTTTTGAAGTTGAACTTGCAAAGAAGTGTGAATTTGTTGTTTCGAGCAAAAATTAACTAAGAAAATATGGATTCTAAGCCATATTCCTTTTTGCTACATGAACTGTATAGAAAAAGCTCACAGTTTTTGTCGTGTCTGAGTTACAAATAGATAAACTTTTCTCACATTCAGTGTCTTGTGTTAGAAAGGGAGAAGCAAAAGTAAGCAGTACCCTTTCTAAACATGACAGCTTCCTGTTTATTTTGAAATGACACGACCGTCGGCAACCGGTTGTGTCTCTTCTCCTTTGATTTATTTATTTATTTGTCAGGTTGACCCATATGGGTTATTCGGATTTATCTCCATCATCTTACCGCTTGCACATCGTGGATCAACTCTTATTCCTATCTAACTTTCATAAATATCAACTAGATCGTGTAGCTAGAGCATACATAACAAAGGTCTTACCTATTAGACACTTCAATCTCAGATGATGTGTGCCTATAAAACCCCTCATCACTAACCAGTAAAAAAATAACACATGCACTTCACACGCCTAACATGGCAGAAATAACGAATGTAAAATAGCCGTGCGGCTTTGGAGTCTAGCTAATTAATAAAACTTTTACGGAAAAAAGAAAAGATAAAATGATTGTCAAAACTCCTGCCGCCGGCAGCTCCCACCCTCAACCTTCATCTTCTTCCTTAGGAATTAGGATCTCCTCTTTTCTTTTGCAAGAACTTCCCCACCCCCAAACACTACTTCATGTAGTGTCTCCAGAACCCCCTCCCCCTATCCATCTTCTTTTCTGTACCTCCATAGTCGCTGGAAGTTCAACACTAACCATATGGAGTGTCGTAAAATGTCAAGAAACGACACATTTGGGGAATACAGTAGGCATCTTGTAATTTGCCAAAGAAAAATTGCGAAGATTAGTTTATAGCATGAAGATCAGGTGCCAATCTCGTGTATCTATGGCTTTCTCGTAATCTCAATTTGACTTAATTTTCTTGGAATGTCCCACCAAATCGAATCAAAGATGACCATTTGGCAACAACTTAGAATAGGAACTATCAAATTCGATCTCAATATATTGGTCAGTCATGAGGGTATGGTGTTAAAATTACTTACTCCCTCCGTCCCAATTTATGTGGCACCATTTGACTTGCCATGACATTTAAGAAAGAAATGAAGACTTTTGAAATCTGTGGTCTAAAATAAGCCTTAGACATTTGTGTGGTCGTAAATCACTCATTAAGAGTAAAATGAAATTTTTGAAGTTAAATTGTTTTGGCGAAATGGCCTCGTGGCCACTTAAACTTGTACCAGTTGGCCTTTCGATACAATCAAATAGAAAGCCCCAAGGGCGCCATATTCTAGGAGCCCAAATTATGTGATTGAATAAATCCTCCTGCTGGTCAAGGGCTCCTTCTCCCTCCCTTCTTCAAACTCCGATTCATATTTTTCATAGAGAAATCTCTGATCAAGGATAGAACAAGAGCTGTTTTGCATCATATCTAAGGGATTCCTCGGTTCGGGCCGAAGAAGCAATGTCACTCGATCGTTATTAAACCGACTGCAATCTTTTTCTGTCTGTGAAGATCCCACCAGAGCGCCTTCTACTTCTAATAGGTCATGAACTAGATCAGAATCATTCTCAACGAGTCCATAAGAAGTGATCCCATTTTTTTCATCGGGTCCGGATAAAGACCAAAGATCTTGAGCGACCGATCCGGCAGAACAACTCAAAAGATAAAGAAGTATCGTTAATCTCTTCATGCTCGTTCCAAGCTCGAAGTACCATTTGTACAAATAAGAATCCCCTTCGTTACATGATTTCTTCTTCATATAGATAAATATAGGATCTATGGGGCAATTGCTTAGAAGTGCATTTTGTGCTACAACCCTTCCTATCTGATAGAAAAGGATCCCATGATCCTGAACCGATCTTACCTGGGATCGCAAATCCCAAGTTTGTCTATGAAGAGCGGATCTAATTGTATTAGTATCTATAATTGAGTTCTTCTGCGTAATACTAATCGATAGGACCTCATTAGTAAGTGCTACAAGATCTCGTGCATTGGAACCCATGGTTATGGACCCGAATCCGTTAGTATGGAACATTTTCTTTTCCAAGTGAAATCCCCTAGTATATGAAAGAGTGAAAAAGTGCTTTCGTTGTTGTGGAAGAAGAAGCCTTCGTATCTTAATGCACGTATTTAATTTATTCGGAGCTATTAGAGCGGGATCCACTTTTTGGGGAATATGAGTCGAAGCAATAACAAGAATATTTCTAGTAGAACATCTTTCACAATCCCTGGAGAGATGGTTCACTAATAGACCGAGGGCTAAGTCATTCGACTCATTCTCATTCAGATCATGAATGTTTGGAATCCATATTATGCAAGGAGACCTTGCTTTTGCTAATTCGAATTGAAGGGTGATATAAAATCGGTCTATTTCCAGCATCATATCCATAGTTAGCCCATTCATTCAAGTTAGCAGTTCCAACTCCGTATCAAGGTCACGATCGATATCGTCACTAGCATCAAGATTATCACTATCATCAATATCGTCACTATCATCAATATCGATCTCATCAAGAAGAAAACCTTTAGGCTTGTTATCCAGGAACTTGTTCAGAAATACCGTAATGAAAGGAACATAGGAGTTTGTCGCTAGGTATTTGACCAAATAGGATCGTCCAGTTCCTATAGAACCTATCACTAAAATACCCCTAGAGGGGGATAAGGCTAAGCGGAGCGAAAAGGGTTTTCCATGAGATGGGAAATGAAAACTATTTTCCCCACACGAAGTTTGTGAATAAGTGATTGTCTGATAATGAGCAAGGAATATCCGTCTTTCTGCTAAACAGGATGGATTGAACTCATAATTCATTAGATGCTTTTTATGAATGTCAACTAAGTATCGTAAGTAAATTGCTCCCGGTTGTTCAATCATTTGATAACCAGAGTCATTCTTTGATAAACGATCACTATGAGTCAGACTCAATAGAATTTGATCAATCCTATTTTCTGTCGTTAAGGTGGAGAACTGAACCAATAATTCTCTTTCTATTAAGGTGGAGAACTGAACCAATATTTTCCGACAAACCAGTTACACTAAGACCCGCATAAACACGTATGGGATCAGGAAAAGAATCCCCTGAATATTGGGTAGCTGTTGTTAAACTTACAGTTTTCCCATTTGAATGTCAACTAAGTATCGTAAGTAAACTGCTCGCGGTTGTTCAATCATTTGATAACCAGAGTCATTCTTTGATAAACGATCACTATGAGTCAGGCTCAATAGAATTTGATCAATCCTATTTTCTGTCGTTAAGGTGGAGAACTGAACCAATAATTCTCTTTCTATTAAGGTGGAGAACTGAACCAATATTTCCAGACAAACCAGTTACACTAAGACCCGCAGAAACACGTATGGGATCAGGAAAAGGATCCCCTGAATATTGGGTAGCTGTTGTTAAACTTACAGTTTTCCCATTTGAACACTCCAACTTGACGGAATGAGTACTAATAAATACATCCAGTAGAGCGTGTATATCAATTGTGCTGACATGTACAACACGTCATATGCTAGACTATTTATTACTTGACATGTGTTATTTGTGGGTCCCATTTTTAAATACTAAATCAACAAAAAAGAAGTTACAAATTAAAAACAGAAAAAAGAAAAAGAGGAAAAAGACCCGACACTTCTCTACTACCCCAGTAACCCGTACCCACCTACCTTTTTTCTTCTCCGTTCACCCACCTCCCTTCCTTTCCTTATTCTTATTCTTTCTTCTCCTTTCTCTTTTTCTTTAGTGTTCTTTCTCTCTCTTATTCTGAATCAAATTCACAACACCACTATGGTCATGATTAGACTTAGAAAAAAAAATTGAATTTTGGAATTTCAGAAAAATTCAATAGAAATCCATGTTTTTGAAACAGTGGAGGCCGCCCAATACCATTGCAAATATTTGCCCTTTTTTGTTGTTGTTTTGGCAAAGAGATTCGATGATAGGGTTTTCTTCAAACCACCGGTGGTTTAGAGTGGTGAGTGCTTTTGACCACCAGAAAACTTCAATGGCTGCCACCTCCACTTCGCTGGCAACCAATCATATAACCCCATCTTTTCTAAAAACTCCAAAATCATAAGATATAAGTAAAAATGCATAATCTTCATATTGAATTTGGCCGGAATTGAACTTTCTGATGCTCTCTCTCCTCGCTTAAGTTGAAGAGAAGAAAGAGAGCGGAAATGAGTACTGACAGACTAGGGGTCATTTTTTTCCTTTTCTTTTTCATTATTTAAATTTTTTTCCTATTGATTATAGTATTTTCTTTAATCATATTATTGCAGTCACGCACATTTTTTGCGTGGTTGACACACATTTTGTCCACATCACCTATGTCACTGCCACATAAGCATAGTCAATGGTCAAGGTGGTTTATTAGTACTCATTCCGTCAAGTTGGAGTGTTCAAATAGGAAAACTGTAAGTTTATGTATCGGCTTTGCAAACTGGTGCAAGTTTAAGTGGCCACGAGGTCATTTCGTGGAAAGATTGACCTTTTCTTTAGGACAAACTAAAAAGGAAAGAGTTCCACCTAAATTGGGATAGAGGGAGTATAATTTTTATAGTTTCACAAAATAACTAGCAGAGATTAAAATATGTACTACTCTTATAGGGGGTTATCTCTTCATGAGTGAAGCCATGCGTTTTAGAGAAGTTTGCGCTTCAAATAATGGTGCACAAAGTGATTCCGGTGAGAATTAGTCAATTCTTTTAGTTTCAACTTTGAGGAGTTTAATATCGACATTATTGTATATGTAATGCTGAAACTAGTTATTTTAATTG